TTAAAGTCCACCTCACCCAATTTTTTTTACAGTTGGAAAAAAAAGTTTAGGAGTTATAAACCACAAATTCACATAAAAAAAATTCGAATTTCCAAATTTTATATTTTTTATGCTCGTTTAATTCGGCCAAATGATTTTTGGCCGAGTGCGAGGGAGCCTGGGTTGATGACGTAGATGGAGTAACTCGTCCTTCGGTAAATACAAAGTTTACTGTACAAGTTCCACATATTTCATTACAAATCTATGTTTTCTAAGACTGAACGTGGGATAATCCAGCCTGAAACGGCAAATCTAATGCTACTAGAGATTATTCTGACGATTTGAACGTTATTTCATGTCTTGGCTATAAAAATGGAGCCAAAGTGTTGAGAGATTATTCTGGACAAACAAGTGTTGCGTATAGATCTAGATAAATATCGAGGAACAGGAAAAGTTATTTACGGCCCCAGGTAAGTAACTTCTTTCAATATATGTAGGTAGTATTTACAGCTGTTCAAATTCCAGGTTCTCTTGTTTCAGATTTGATTTTTACTGTCATTTCACTGTAGGTATCTATCGTTGTCTCTCGAACGACTTACTCCCTCTACGTCATCACGAAGACATTGATCAGGCACACAGGAATCCCGAAATTGGCTTTGTCCGCGGTTGTTTTCGCTTCAAAATGTAGTTTAAATAAACRARATCAAATTKGTTTGTACAAATTGTTGTTACTATGACAAAAGTCTTTTCTTTACAAATATAAAAAAAAATTGGGTGAGGTGGACTTTAATAATTCATAAGTTACACAGCCCTTCAGTGACCGTTATTGTAATCACATGACTACCCTTGTATTCACCAATACAAACTTAAAGCGCGGGGAGGGCTTGAATCCAGAGCAGGGAAAGGGTGGGGTTGATGAATAAACAATAGAGAATGAGATCTATTCGTGTTCTATATAAAAATACAGAATACTAATAGATCTGTTAGTATTCTGTATTTTTATATAGAATACTAATAGATCTGTTATCCTGCTATAGAAAAAAATATATATAATGCTGATAGACATCGATCTAGCGAAATGAATAGTCAAAATTGCACGTATTTACATTTTACGATCATTTTTCTTGAGGAGGTTAAATGAATTTTCTTCCTTTACGTTTTGTAGAAGCATGTTAAGGCCGGATCCGGCCTAAACGTAAAGGCAGATTGTTTCGAAACAATCACAAATATAGATTTTGATGAATATTGTACGCCACTCTTGTTGGCAATAACTCTCCGACGAACTTTGTTAACCAAGAATATTTAGAGAGTCCAACGTAGTTGGTGTTATTTCCTTCAGCTTCTTGTCAAGATTGCACATTATCGATATCAAAGCCAAACCCAACGCTCTCGTTTGTTACTGAGTGTTAATTTTCTTCCCTTGCTTGTTGCCACTCGTGAAAAATTCACTCCATTTTATGATATGTTTGGTATTAGATGTTATAAGAATCCTCCAGTCAATTTTTATCTTCGTTTTTGTCTTTTGGTTTTCTAAAGTTAATTAGCCATAATTCTCGAGCTTGTTTTGAGTGCATGATGAACGCTAACTGAAGGCAAAAATTATGCAACATACGGCCCGTGGAAAAGAAACAATAACTGCTTCATTACCTAGCTATGGTTACATGGCCCATTGTAGAACAGATTCGATGTAACAATGTATTTTGTAATACGTTTAATGAGCTGTGTATATTTCTATTATTACTAGGAAACAACACATTTTAGCTTTTAACTATTGTTAAGAAATAATAACTTTAGGTGCTTAATGATGGATATCATAAGTCATATACAATATTCGCGTTCGATCTGTATTGAGAATACAATGGCTCGCCTTCGGCTCGCCATTGTATTTCCCAATACAGGTCGGACGCTCATATTGTATATATTACATAATATATTGAGTGCATATACGACCTGGGCCACATCAGCTGATGTATAGTATATATATGACCAATAAGTGCCAGTTTACATGATGGCATTTACAAACCTCTGTCGGAAGAGACAGACAATAACTAATCGTGAGAATCAGATTGCTAGATTTCAACACCCACTTTGTATTGTAATCTTCCTAATCTGGTATCTCTTTCATTCTAGAATGTTCGCCAGAATGGTTTGACGACTTAAATTCACCTCTTAAAGTTGTGGTGCCTGGAGATAGCAAAAGAAAAAAGATTGGTACATTGTTTTATTATTGCAAGCTTGAAAGTCAGATGTCCTATTTGAATTGTTACGGAAAATGGGAAAAGTTCAGCCAAAACTCTAGTGTTGGATTTGAATTAGAAAATAGAGAAGACTTGTATGTAAGTATACAATATGAAAGCAAACCTAAAATTGAATAAGCTCACAACGTTGTTAAAAGAGAGCACGAGAAAATGTCGTTATTACAATAGTCTCCTTCACGGATACCTGCGCCATCTTGAAAGGTAGCCGTGGCTTTACATGGAAGTGAGACAACCGTTGAGCGTGCTATGATAGATACCTGTGAATAATTGTCTATAGGTGTGAAAGAAGGTTTCTACCATTCCACGCTCAACGGTTGTCTCGCTTCGATGACAAGGCACGGCTACCTTTCAAGATGGCGCAGGTAACCGTGAAGGAGACTATAGCCTTGTACCCTGGTTCGCAGAGGCTGGCCAATCACAAATCGGAGTAATATGATCTGTTATCTGTGATGAACTCTTATTGGTTCGTTTATTTGACATGTTTGACAACTAAAACACTCCGATGTGTGATTGGTTTGCTTGAAAACAGCATGAAAGTGAGATTTATTACGTTTGTGACCAGAGGCTTGGCGAAAAAACAAACCCGATTAACGGAAACGTCTCGCCGCGTCGCGGCTCGATAACATAGTGAGCAAAAGAATAAAAGACAAGCCTCTGGAAACAGGGTAATAGCCTTGAAAAAGTTTGCATTTACCCCGAATTGACACTAATTTACTAATTAGCATTAACCCTATTCAGACTGGGGGGGGGGGGTTGAGCCCCCCCCTCGAGTAAAATGCCAATAACTTTCGAACCAAGACAGCTACAGCTCTGAAACTTTCTAAAATTTATGGTGTTTCTAATTTTTGGTGTTATTGTTTTGTTGATAACGTCATCCATGTCGCCATGGCAACCAGGTTTTGACACATAGGTTTTCAAAAATGTAAAATATGAATAATTTTTCATTTTTAAAGGTTATTTCTTGTTTTATTCTGCATCATTTACCTATTTGAGCTTGCTCAAATTGCTGACTATACAATACCATAATACTTTTTTGACAACAAAAATGTTTGGGGGAGGGGTGGGTAGTTTTTAGTCATTTTTTCACATGGGAGAAAATTTTATTAAATTCATCATCAGCAATTCGAAACTCACTTTTTTATTCACTAAATGTTAGTTTGAGAAGTATTAGAAAATTCAAGATGGCGGTCCAAGATGGCGGATACTAAGATGGCGGATATTCTTCTCAAAATTGCTAATTGTTCTAAATTGTTTAACTTCAAAAACCCCTCAAATTGTAAAGTTTAACATATAATACCGATGTAGACAAAAAAAAGTGAGATTTGGAGTCAAATTATTCAAAGACGACAAAGAGACTATAGCAAATAACAATTATGACGTCACAACTGTTACCATGGATACAAAACGAACAACAACATCACAGGAGAGCAGTAACGCCTAAATATGATATTTAACTGGTTATGTAGATATAGATACATAATTTATAAAAATTTCCTGATATCTGTGACGTCATCGTGACGTCATATAGAACAGGGGTCAATTAAAAATACAAAAATATTATTTTCAAGTCATTTCAATAATAAACAGGTGATATTGCAGCATTCACTATGGAATTGTAGGCAATTTATTAAAATGAATTATAAATCGTTAAAATGGTGTAAATGACGTCATTATGACATCATATTTGGTTCCCACGGGTGAAGATTGGGTGGGTGTTTTGTTTTACGTGGGCGACCATTGTGTGAAAATTTCATGCTCGTAGACCTATCAATAATTCATAAGGTAAACACAATGGAAAATCATTGACGTGACCGCATCTTATGAGCAAGAGATTTGTCCTGATTTGCATGTATGACTTTTTAAACTCCGATTTTCGCTTACAAATGATATTTTATCCTGAAGTTTTTCCCGAAATATGCTTTAGCTAATGTTGGAATTTGATAAACAATATAAAATGCCCATAGAGGTCTCCCGCTCATATTTTATATATTACATACGAAATTTTAAAGTCAGGAATCTTGTTATTCAAATATATGCAAATATGCAAATCTGCAACTACATGCATGCAGAGAAAATCGTTAAAAAAGTGCGAGTTCACGCAGTAATGCAACTATTTCTATGGAAATGCGTCCAAAGTATTTTACCTGTGAGACATACATTATGTTTACTATTTTTTGTTTATATAGCACAAGGGTAAAGACAGATTTAACGAATACACGCCAAAGATAAATGGAAATGTAATAAAACTCCATTTGAGTTGTCAAGTTGATGTTCAGAATTGTGTTTTGTTAAAGGTTAACGGAACGCAAAATTGTAAGTATTCATGGCAACAATTTTTAAACTGTTAAGTAATGGCCCCAGTAAGAACTAGGGAAGCAAAAGGCAAAGGTGCTAATTGTGTGTTGTATAATCCATCCATGCCTATGGTTTAAACAAGAAAATCTGCTATAATTTCAAAAGTTAGCGCATTTTCTAATATTTTATTTAATATCTGATTCCGACTTCACGAAAGCTTTCTTCAGCTACAATATTAAGGCAATTCTATGTGGGGAACATAGCAAATTAGAAGCTTCTTTTGGCTATTGTTTTGTGAGTGCTTATGATTGGATAAGAGTTTTTAATACAAAAGAAACTCTGTTTCAAAATAGAGTTTATCCACGTTTTATTTCAAAAATGCATTAGCCATAGGTTGATATATAATCAGTGTGAAAACCAAGACATTCGTATGTGGGGAAGTTGCAATGCCGCAGAACAATAGAGAGTTCCCTAGTTCTTAAGCGCATTGTTACTTAACACTTAGACTGCTCTAGAAAATTATACCAGTTTAAATTTGAATATGGACGTTTGAGAAGGTATCATGCAACAATATGTGCATGTAATAAAAACTGAATAAAAATTATTTTTCACTAGCTTAAGGTTATCATAAAAGGCTTTTTTTCTGAGCTCGACTGTAACTCGGGCGCACTAATTAAAATTTTTCAACCCGCCAACTTACGCGTCCAAACTCAGCTCTTTTATTACAACGCACTGAGGAAGGTCAGAGTTCTGACCGAAACTTCTGCGTTTTTCATTAAAATCTTAAGCTAGTGAAAAATATTTTTATTCAGATTTTATTATGGCTCTTCCTAGCTGCATGTGTCGCTAGATCTGAAGTTGTGATCAGATCTTATTTTGTATCATTACTTAAAGGAATGCTTTTTCTAGCTTCAAACATTTTTATACCAATCATGCCAATTGACCGTTTTGCATTAAATATTTTGATTAAGGTAAAGTCGACTCGACAACTACATCATCGCCTCCAACAACTTCAGCAACTACAGCACAATTACCTCAAACAACAACTTCGACAACCACTTCAACGAGTTTTTCAGACACGTCAACCAATCAACAAACGACGGCTATCAGCATAACAAAAGCCGAAAGGTTATCAACAACTTCATCAACCGAGTCGACTCCAGAACATCCCATGCCGACTCGACATTTCTCTGAAACCAAGACAACCGATGCTGTGAGTCCGCAATTTTGGCTCCGCCAAAAATGGTTCATTCTTTGCTAGATCAGATGCACATCTTTTTGAAAAAGCATCATCCAAAATAAAAACTAGTAGTACTTTTGAATTTATTAAAATACTAAAAAAGAAGGCATTCAGGTCGATCGCTCGTCTTTTTGTTTTAATGTCTTCCTATGTTCTGAAATCACTGAATCGATATTCCATGCATACTCTGGCTCATTGACCACTAACAAGGCATTGAACCAAGAGGCATCAAGGTACACTGCATGACGTTAAAGAAAAGATCTGTGCTCAGTGTTCTTTTCAATGCATTATTCGTGAAAAGTCGTGAATACATGCAATCGAGAATTGTAAAGTTAATTATGTCGAAATGTCGAAAATAGAGTGAAAATAGAGTTTAACTTTTCTGAATGGTTATGGCGTTGAAAGATGTCAATTGACAAATTGCAAAGGCATTGAAATCCCCTTAGAGAGAGCCTGGCACTTAGCTACATACGTACAGATATTCACATTTTTTATAATTGTTCGATATATCACTATTCTCAGTATGTGCTTTTTTGCTTCCATGTTCTCTAGATAACAAGCTCACCTCAAAAAGAGAAAAGTGCCAGTAATGGGGGCAGCAGTGGTGGTGCCATTGAAGGCGCCATTGGTGGGGTAGTTGCACTGGTAGTCATTGTTGTTATATTGATTGTTATATTAAAAAGAAGAAGAAAAAGGTAATTCATTAAATTCAAATCATTTAAAAATAAATAAATCATATTATTCTACAAAAGAAATACGAATCTTTGATGCAAAAACGTTCATTTACAAATTATACGCATAGTCAAACTTCTTAATTTGGTGAACCCTGTTTCCATGGCTACCGAAGAGAAGGGAGTTATCTCCATCAACAATCAATACCCACAATACCTTTGAGATGGGTACTCTCAATTCTTCTTGCTGCGTTTCATAAGAGTTTCCTTTACTAAGATGCGATAATTCAATTCACAGATGTGCTAAAGAAAAGCGAGAATCAGTGGCTCCTATAGCAGGTATATTTCTTTATTCCACACAACTGATATAGCTTTTGACACAAAAAGATGCTATCAAATTATTACCTTTTATAAAAAGTATATTGCATGCGATATGTTTGAAAGCTGATTTAGTACTCTTTATAAATTATCATGTCTCTATATCTATTTACTCTGTGTTTCTCAGACAATCCTTCTTATCATAACGCATCCCCCGCCAATGGACAACTGGAATTCCCAGATGATGACGAGTATTCGTACGCCTGTACAAACAACCATCCTATTGTAATCAAAGAACAAAATGGCAAAGGTAAGCAAACTTGCAATTTCATATTGCTTTAGGTAACCTTGTAAAAAACAAGAATTTTTACGTTATTTAACTATAATAACATGACTGATTTGCATTATAGCAGTGACAGGCTCAAACGTTGCTAATGACAATAACAGAAACATCAATGGTGTCTTGGGTTCTCCACCAAACCAGCAAGCTCCCGTCTATAGCACTCTGGAAGATCCTAATTACGCTAAACTTCAAAAATCCGCAAATACGTCCAATGGGCCTTCGTACAATGTTCTTGCTCGTCCAGAAAATAAATGGACAGCAAAACAAGGGCCAGTTTATGATGTGCTAGAAGACCCAAACACTTTACCAAATAAGAATGGTCCAATTTACAATACGCTAAAGAACCCAAATGAACCTTCCTACAACACTCTTGAACGCCCTGAAAATAAATGGATGACGAAACAAGGACCTGTGTATGATATACTGGAGGACCCAAATTCTACTGGTGGTCCAGTATACAGCGTACTTGAAGGACCAAACTCGAATGATCAGCAAGCATATGATGCCCTTGAGGGTCAAGACACTAATGTATATGGTTCCCTTGATAGTCCAGACCCTCACGTTTATGGTGCACTTTATTCACCGACGTCAAAATCAGCATCGGCGTATGATAATGATATTTATGACTCTGCTGGTGGAACTATAATTGATGAAGATACGTACCAAGAACTAAATCAAACTGATCAGCGGTCTTCTGATATATATCAGCCAGTACGACCTCCAAGAAATACCATGGCCATGAAAAACATGTCTGGAATTACTCAGTCTCAGGCATAGCCGTTACCTAGTACTAATTTCAATGCCTGAGACACTTCCATATTAGGTTACGACCACATGGATTAGTATAA